AAATTGTATCACTAAAGGGAGATCATTTAAGTACAAAGCAAAGAGTAGTGGACCTAAATGGCTACTTTGAGGATCGCCAGAATGAACATTCATGTTGCTAGAGATACTATCATTGAAAACTACTTTGAGTGAGATTTTTCATGTAGAATGAAATTCAAGACAAAAGTAACATTGGAAACCCCATAGTATCCAATGTTATATATCTGATGGTTATATATCTATATCTGAACCGATTTCGGAGAAACTTGCCAGAGACCAATTTATATTACTTCAGTACGTTGTGTCAATCGGACTAGCTATGGATCCTTTCACGAAGCTTAGCAACATCATTCAGTACCTTATACCAAAATTCGTGCAAATCGAAAGATATATAGTGACTTTGGCGCACCAATTACATAAAATCGGACGAAATCATATATACGAGCTACATCTAAATCTGAATCGATTTGCACGAAACTTAGCAACATCATTCTAGACTTAATTCAGTATGCTATGACAAATTTCGTGCAAATCGAATTGGTGCACCAATTATTAAAGACGCAATTCATTACGGTATGTCAAATTTCGTGCACATCGAAAGACATATGTGGCCTTTGATGCACCAATTACCTGAAATCGGATGAAAATATATATGGGAGCTATATGTAAATCTGAACCGATTTTCACGAAACTTTGCACACATAATTTTAGACTTAATTCAGTTCGCTATGCCAAATTTCGTGTAAATCGAAAGATATATATAGCTGTATCTAAATCTGAACCGATTTTCACGAAACTTACACACATCATTACGCTGTGCCAAATTTCGTGCAAATCGAAAGATATATAGGGACTTTGGTACACCATTTACCTTAAATCTTGCGAAAATATATATGGGATCTATATCTAAATCTGAACCGATGTTTCCCAATTTCAATAGGGTTCGTCCTTTGGCCAAACAAATGAGCTGTGCTAAATTTCATCCAATTCGGATCATAAATGCGACCTGTACTTTGTTTACAATTTAAGATGGACAGACGGACGGACAAGCATAAATCGACTCAGAAAGTTATTCTATGTATATTGTCAAAAGGAACCATGGGTCTATCTCGATTATTTTTTCCTGTTACAAACATATGTACCACAGTGGGGTGAAATGTATAAAAAGTTTGTGTATTACAGTGTCAAATGTTTTTGGTTGCTTTCAGGAAAAAAAATGGTGTGCATGACATGTTAATTCCATTAGATTAGTCAAAGCAGATCTGCATTTTATGAAACCATGTTGATAAGATGAAATTATTGCAATAGTAACAAATCTAAAAAAAAAAATATATATAGGCTTAGTCTAGGGTAAGCGTTGTTCGACCTTTCCTTTTTATGTGTAAATTCAAACACACCTGGATTAGGATACGACATTATTAATAGTACACAGTTCTAAAGGAATTTGACATTGCCTCAGAAGGGTTTTATTGAAAAATTGGCTTTTTAAGAAAACGACTTGTTGAGCAACTTTTTAAAAATTCCTAGTGGTAACACTGGCTTCGTCTGCTAATGGTAGTCAACTATTTATGAGGTCTCCGAGAAATATATCAGCATTGTAATCGAAATGAAATTAATAAACTAGTTTTAATTGTCAGTAAACTCCAACTTCGCTTTTTAAATTTAATTTCAATACGAAACATTTTACCAAAGATATAGTCATTTGGAAAATCACCACAAATGTTGAAAAACTGCATTTGTCAAAACAATTATGACGTTTATGTTGAAATGCTCACAGCAAGACAAACGATGTTTATTTTTTATCTTCACACCAATGGTTATGCCATTTGCTTTCTGTTAAATAATCTTCTTCATTAAAAATCAGTTTTTGCACATGTGCTTTTGTTTTTATTTTCAGCTTCTTCTTAATTCTGAATCCCTAAAAAATTTGCTCGACTTTGACTCCATAGACCTGCTTGTAACACACGTGAACATAGAAATATGCTTTTATATTTAAATTCTGCGTTTCAATTAGCATAACAAGTTTGCATAATTCCCACACAAAGAATCAAAGAGCGACGATCTTTGATTTGGATTCACAAAGAATAGTTTGTATATATATATATATATATATATGTGTGTTTTTTTAAATTTTTTGTTTAGAAATTGATTTATCTTAAACGTTAGCAACAAAAACAAAACACCACATAAAATAAAATGAAATAAAACTAATTATCATTATATTCAGAATTGTTCTTAATGATGAATTCTAAACAACGGGAAGATAACCACTATTTTGTTGAAAGGCTTTAAACCAGATTTGAAGTTGATAATTCGATTGAGTTCGGTAGAAACGTTCAAACGATACGGAGGTGTAAATCGGAGAGCAAAAAATTATAAAAAATATATAGTTTTATTAAAATAAAAATTAAAAAAAAAAAAAATTAAAATGATGAAATCTGTGTTTGTTGTATCTGTGATTGCGGCCTTAGTGCTTATGCCATATCAAGAAGTAGCTGCATTCAAAATTATCTCCATAAATACAGGTGTGCATTGTTGTGTGAAATAAAAACAAAAAACATTTAAATACATATCTTGTGAAAAATTAAATTTGAATTATATTGTGTCCTTAGGTTCATCGGCAGTATCTTCTTCCTCCTCATCCGCATTTAATCCTGCCTCCCTTTTGCAAGGCCTCACCTCAGGCATTTCCAGTAAATTGCAATTGGTCCAAACTTTGGTACAAACAAAACTGTCTCTGCAACAAAATATTTTGAACTCCTTGCTGGGCAATTTGGGTAACATTAAGACTCAAGCTACAAGTTCAGTTGGACAATTCCGATCACCTTTGACCATTAGCAAACAAATTTCCATTGGCTCATCATCATCTTCGACAGCAACAACTGAATCTTCGACATCGACAACACATGGTGGTTATTAAGCCGAATGCTGCTATGAAATTAAAAACTACAACCTCCTCCACTATTTTTTTCTGTTTACAATATTTAGTATGATAAGAAGCTATGGGTACAATTGATTGAGATGTATTTTCAAGATTGTTTTATGGATAAGATTTTGTTTTTGTTTTATATTGGAAAATAAAAATAAATTCGAATAAAAAAATTGAAATACATGTGTTTGAATTGTGTGTTAAAGTTCTATGAGTTGATGTGAAGATATGAATACTAATGTGATTTCAGATCGATGATAAAAATATTTAAATACAGCGAATATGGTGAAGTATAAGATGTATTGCTGCACACTCACGAGATGTAGGAATATTTAATAACATACAAATTGCTCCTGTTTTTATTAAAGGTAATTTTGCATGTGGAATTCGCATATATTTTGTATAGGAAAAAAAAAAATGAAGCTACGCCTCTATAGTACTAGAAAACATATTCTTTAAAAATCTACGCACCTTATAACCCTAAAAAAAATTTAAAAATCCTTCAGACTCTTAAGCGTGAATTGTTAAAGAATATTTCGGGAGGAACATTCAGACCTTTAAGCGTGGATTTTCAAAGAATATTTCTGGAGGATTTTTCAGACGCTTACGCGTGGATTTTTAAAGAATATTTCTGGATGAATAATCAGGCCTTAAACCTAGGTTTTAAAAGAAAATTGTTGAAGGAACTCTCACATCTTAAGGCGTGATTTTTATAAGAATATTTGTTAAGGAACTATGGGGTTTAAAGCTTAAATTTTTAAAAAATAATTTTAAGGACTATGAGAATATAGTTGAAGGAACTATCACATCTTAAGGCATGATTTTTATAAGAAAATTTGTTAAGGAACTAAAAAATTTGTTAAGGAACTAACTATATTTTAAAAAATATTTTTAACGACTATGAGGTCAATATGCATGGATTTAAAGACCATTTTGAGGACTATGAGGTCAATAGGCGTGGATTTTTAAAGACCATTTTGAGGACTATGAGTTCAATAGGCGTGGATTTTTAAAGACCATTTTGAGGACTATGATGTCAATAGGCGTGGATTTTTAAATACCATTTTGAGGACTATGAGGTCAATAGGCGTGGATTTTTAAATACCATTTTGAGGACTATGAGTTCAATAGGCGTGGATTTTTAAATACCATTTTGAGGAGTATGAGGTCAATAGGCGTGGATTTTTAAATACCATTTTGAGGACTATGAGGTCAATAGGCGTGGATTTTTAAAGACCATTTTGAGGACTATGAGGTCAATAGGCGTGGATTTTTAAAGGCCATTTTGAGGACTATGAGGTCAATAGGCGTGGATTTTTAAAGACCATTTTGAGGACTATGAGGTCAATAGGCGTGGATTTTTAAAGACCATTTTGAGGACTATGAGGTCAATAGGCGCGGATTTTTAAAGACCATTTTGAGGACTATGAGGTCAATAGGCGTGGATTTTTAAAGACCATTTTGAGGACTATGAGGTCAATAGGCGTGGATTTTTAAAGAGCATTTTGAGGACTATGAGGTCAATAGGCGTGGATTTTTAAAGACCATTTTGAGGACTATGAGGTCAATAGGCGTGGATTTTTAAAGACCATTTTGAGGACTATGAGGTCAATAGGCGTGGATTTTTAAAGACCATTTTGAGGACTATGAGGTCAATAGGCGTGGATTTTTAAAGACCATTTTGAGGACTATGAGGTCAATAGGCGTGGATTTTTAAAGACCATTTTGAGGACTATGAGGTCAATAGGCGTGGATTTTTAAAGACCATTTTGAGGACTATGAGGTCAATAGGCGTGGGTTTTTCATGACCATTTTGAGGACTATGAGGTCAATAGGCGTGGATTTTTAAATACCATTTTGAGGACTATGAGGTCAATAGGCGTGGATTTTTAAATACCATTTTGAGGACTATGAGGTCAATAGGCGTGGATTTTTAAATACCATTTTGAGGACTATGAGTTCAATAGGCGTGGATTTTTAAATACCATTTTGAGGACTATGAGGTCAATAGGCGTGGATTTTTAAATACCATTTTGAGGACTATGAGGTCAATAGGCGTGGATTTTTAAATACCATTTTGAGGACTATGAGGTCAATAGGCGTGGATTTTTAAAGGCCATTTTGAGGACTATGAGGTCAATAGGCGTGGATTTTTAAAGACCATTTTGAGGACTATGAGGTCAATAGGCGTGGATTTTTAAAAACCATTTTGAGGACTATGAGGTCAATAGGCGTGGATTTTTAAAGGCCATTTTGAGGACTATGAGGTCAATAGGCGTGGATTTTTAAAGACCATTTTGAGGACTATGAGGTCAATAGGCGTGGATTTTTAAAGACCATTTTGAGGACTATGAGGTCAATAGGCGTGGATTTTTAAAGACCATTTTGAGGACTATGAGGTCAATAGGCGTGGATTTTTAAAGACCATTTTGAGGACTATGAGGTCAATAGGCGTGGATTTTTAAAGATCATTTTGAGGACTATGAGGTCAATAGGCGTGGATTTTTAAAGACCATTTTGAGGACTATGAGGTCAATAGGCGTGGATTTTTAAAGACCATTTTGAGGACTATGAGGTCAATAGGCGTGGATTTTTAAAGACCATTTTGAGGACTATGAGGTCAATAGGCGTGGATTTTTGAAGACCATTTTGAGGACTATGAGGTCAATAGGCGTGGATTTTTAAAGACCATTTTGAGGACTATGAGGTCAATAGGCGTGGATTTTTAAAGACCATTTTGAGGACTATGAGGTCAATAGGCGTGGATTTTTAAAGACCATTTTGAGGACTATGAGGTCAATAGGCGTGGATTTTTAAAGACCATTTTGAGGACTATGAGGTCAATAGGCGTGGATTTTTAAAGACCATTTTGAGGACTATGAGGTCAATAGGCGTGGATTTTTAAAGACCATTTTGAGGACTATGAGGTCAATAGGCGTGGATTTTTAAAGACCATTTTGAGGACTATGAGGTCAATAGGCGTGGATTTTTAAAGACCATTTTGAGGACTATGAGGTCAATAGGCGTGGATTTTTAAAGACCATTTTGAGGACTATGAGGTCAATAGGCGTGGATTTTTAAAGACCATTTTGAGGACTATGAGGTCAATAGGCGTGGATTTTTAAAGACCATTTTGAGGACTATGAGGTCAATAGGCGTGGATTTTTAAAGACCATTTTGAGGACTATGAGGTCAATAGGCGTGGATTTTTAAAGACCATTTTGAGGACTATGAGGTCAATAGGCGTGGATTTTTAAAGACCATTTTGAGGACTATGAGGTCAATAGGCGTGGATTTTTAAAGACCATTTTGAGGACTATGAGGTCAATAGGCGTGGATTTTTAAAGACCATTTTGAGGACTATGAGGTCAATAGGCGTGGATTTTTAAAGACCATTTTGAGGACTATGAGGTCAATAGGCGTGGATTTTTAAAGACCATTTTGAGGACTATGAGGTCAATAGGCGTGGATTTTTAAAGACCATTTTGAGGACTATGAGGTCAATAGGCGTGGATTTTTAAAGACCATTTTGAGGACTATGAGGTCAATAGGCGTGGATTTTTAAAGACCATTTTGAGGACTATGAGGTCAACTATGAGGTAGGCGTGGATTTTTAAAGACCATTTTGAGGACTATGAGGTCAATAGGCGAGGATTTTTAAAGACCATTTTGAGGACTATGAGGTCAATAGGCGTGGATTTTTAAAGACCATTTTGATGCTTGATTCTTTCAAATGACCTGTTATTCTAATATTTCAATATATTAAATGATATAAATATCAAAAGCCTACTTAAAAGCGTACTAGCAGTCATGGCAAATCGTAATTTCGGATTTTCTAAAGAGAAAAACAAGATCTCCCTGTTTATTCCCACCGCATTTCACTTCAGTATTAAATCTCTGCTGGTATTATAAATTATACACTTGTTTTCATCAAAAAGACTTACCCATTTATATTTCATCCTCTGCAGAATTCAACATATATCCAGTTAGCCGCAAGCATTCAATTTACACTGCCTCGCATAATAAATATGAAAAAGAAACTGCCGATGCTGGTGGTACTTTTACTTTTATACACTTCGCCCAAAAACCAACTGAGTTCTCAATGCAAAATTAAAACTCAATAAATTCTCATTAAAGGTAATAATAAATGTACTAGGACGCCCCACATATAGCCAGTGGTGCTGCTCCTGCTACTACTCCTTGGCGTAGTTGGTCGGCGTTGTTATGGATACCAGCAATTCTGAATGCTGCTTTTTACACCGTTGCTACTCAGGTCGAGTAGAGTGTGATTTACGTTGCCGTTGTGGCTTTAATACAACGGCATCACTACAGGGCCACACACATTTCTTGTAACAACACATCAGAAAGTGATTAAGGAAATATCCTGGGTTTTCATGCTCATGTTTTTCCCTCAGTTGTTTTTTTTTCTTCCTGAAAACAAATGAGAAAACAGCGACATAAATCAGTGATCGTTGTTAACAACAACTACAATAATAATTTTTATAGGCTAGTTTTAACAATGTTAGTTCAAGTTGAATGGGTTAGTTAGAAGAGAAAGGGATGTCAGGGGAATGAACCACACTAAAGATACTAGAAGTGGAATATTATGAATTTTATTATAAACAAGTTATCATGAATAATTTATTCGGTAGGAATAAAATACGACAAATTTTTGTAGAAACTGCTAAAAAACCCACATGACCCAGTCGATTCATTTTGTGAATGTAAACATTCAGCTTGTTACTCAACACACTTGTTCACGTGTTTGACATGTAAACACTTGTTTCATATATTGTATTTGGCATCAAAATAATTTGGAAAATGCATATGTGAATTTTCTAACACAAACAATGTCAATGTTGGTAGAAGTGCCTGAAATATGGAAACAATGGCATGGAAAACTAACCACAATATAGTGAGTGTAGAGACGGCGGTTGTTAGAAAGGCAAAATGTAGTCAAACAAACGGTTGCAAAACTAACAACCACCGAGTGAGGGGCTGGGGGAGGACAAAACACAGCCAGTGTTGCCAGTTTAGAGAAATTATCCGTAAATTGTGGATTTTTGTTTGGACTCAATGAACTTGTGTGTTTTGAATATGATTTGCGTAGCAACAACCAATGCTCGTGTAGAACACGTTGTTTTTCATTATTAATATAGTAAATTACAGCTTCGAAATAAAATACAATATGAATTATTTAAATATATTTTAAGAATTAACACGATGCGCGGTGAAAATTTAAATCTTTCACCTAGAATAACAAAACGTTTCGAAAAAAAATTGTTTTTGCCAAAAAAAGAGAGATGGGAAAAATGAGTTTAATTAGTCGTAAAGTAAAGCAAAATAGGAAAATAGTTTGTATGTTAATGAAATACACCTAAGTCTGTTTTTAGACGGTAGATTGGTTCCAGAAGATGCCGTGTAAAAAACCCGTGTAAAAAAGACAGTGATCTTATACATAAAGGGAATTCCCCTAAATGAGTGCTATTCACATTTGCTTTGACCAGTAAAAATTGTTTGTACGCGCTAAAGGGGAATTCACTTAAATATCTAAGCTAGTGTTCGCAAACTATCGATACTATCGATGGTTTCAAACTTTTTTCTTTCATAAATACTTTTTTGTGATATGAACATACTTCGCAAAAATTAAATTTGACAAAAAAAAATTTAAGTACATAAAATTTCAAAATAAAATCGTCTAAAAAATTAAAAATATTCAATTTTGAAACCGTGTTATATCAAAACCGTGTACAAAAAGACCGCGTAAAAGCAGACTTAGGTGTATTTACATTTTGGGAAAAAATAGTGACTTTCTCATTATTATAAGAATTTTTACTTTTATACTAAGCGAGGTACATGTACAAAAAATGGAATAAATAAACTATGAATGAATTTATGAAAATATTCATAAAATATTTCTTCGGTGTACTTGACCCACAAATATATTCACCCCTATTCCGTAGGTCGTCGTCGTTGTCGACGACACTCTTGCAACGATGTCGACTATTTGTCGATAATATCAACAAAACAAAAAACACATCTCTAAAATTGAGTCAGCTGTTTATTTTCTTTGATATTTTGGCTTAAGTTGAGTTTAGGGGCTTATCTCAATTTTTTCTGAAATTTTTACCACAGGTAGATCTTGTCTCCCTGATGACGAAAATATATGACATTAATGGGAGAAGTCCGTTCTTCACGAGGTATGGTCCTCTAAAGTTGCGGAATTCATATGCTCATAACAGCGTCCTTTATGGACCGATGATGGTAATGTTGACGGCTATTAAGAAATGCATGTTTATTTAAAATGTTCGATCGCGTAGCCGAATTGTCCATTATAGATAGCCGTCTAAGAATGGTCATTGAAAAAATTTGATTTAGGCCTGTCCATAGGAGAATGTCTTAAATCACTGGCCAAAGGCCGGTTATTTTGAATAATTTTTAATTAAAACGTATTTATGTGAAAATATGTGTACGCTTTACAACCATACCAATATTACCTTCATCGGTATATAATTGACGAACTTATGAACAAAGGAATTTCGGAACTTCAGAGGTCTATATTTCGGGATGTTTGGCTCCTCCCATGAAAATCATAAATTTTCGTGATCAGGGAGACGAGACCTACATGTGGTAAAAATGTCATCCGAGATGAGCCTCTAAACTAAGTTTTAAAACACATTTTTAATATAAATCTTTACTCTTATAGCGAATTAGGGATATAGCGAATTGTTTATTCGGTCCCATTTTTCAGTTGTCATTTAATTTATTTCGGTTATAAGGAACTTAATATACCAAACACTTAACGATGCCAAACCTGCTCAAAAGTTAATTTATAGCTAACGTTGGCAACCTTTACAAGAAAATTCAGGTTTATCAATGAAAAAGGGAATTGAATATTTTTTTTTTGTGATAATCCTTGGTTTTATTTTACCTTGGATATAACGAACTTCTTCTATAACAAACTAATTTGCTTAGTCCCTACTAGTTCGCTATAACCGTACTTTACTGTTTTTGTATTTCCCCACAAGAAAATTGCTGGGGTAAGGATTTTGGAAAATGCTGTTGAAGCTTTCTAAACCATGTTATGGAGGTGTCTCAATAAAACCATTTTTTTACCTTCCAACATAAGGTAATATACACAATATTAAATTTGTCATTCCGTTTACAACAGCTCGAGACCGGAGACCCCACAAAGTATATATGTATATTCTTGATCAGGATAAAATTCAATGTCGATTTACGCATGTCCCTCTGTTGAAATCACGATAGAGATCGCAATATTTAAGATAAAGATCACATTTCCGTACAAAATTGTTTAATATTGACCCATGTTTAAGCGTACCCCGTATTTTTCGGTATGCTCAAAGTCCCCATAGAATGGTATAAAAAATTCGTTTTTACTTGTTGATTATAAATCGCTACGGGATTAGGTGCAGCCACCATAAAACGGTACTGCCCAATTTTCAGCATTTTGGTATTATTTTCTAACTAAAGGATCTGTAAATTTTCATTTAGGGTTTCAGATGGTGAAAAATGTTCAATATAGGATCATGTTACAACAAAATCCCCATTTTGGGAATTTTAACGTTTTGGCCTCATTTTCCAAGTGAGGGAGTCTTTTTAAGTTGTTGAATATCATGAATTGGAGATGGATCGATGTTCTGATATAGCAAACATATATTCTGCACTTTCCCACCGAAGGACCTGCAATTTGGTATTTAGTTTTCTGAGAGGGTGAAAAATATCTTTGCAGAAATTGTCGATATGAGTCCAAGTTTTGACTTCGCCACATGTAGGTATCCCTCTCTATGCTCAGTAATTTTTGAAAGCTTTAGCCGCATTTCCCCACCAAAGCCATTGTTATATGGCATTCCAAGTTCTTAGAAGGTGTAATATAACTTCGCAGAAAATTGCAATATAGGGCAATATTTTAAAATAGCCCTATATAAAGGTCTCACTATATTTCGGTATTTATAGGGCCTTTGCATAAATTTTTACACCCAAGTAGCTATAAGTTAGTATATAGCGTTCTTGGATGATGGAAAACTTCGCAGAAATTATTCAATATATGATTAATATTCATAAATGGGCCCCATACAAAAATCCCGTCTGATTTTCGTTTTCCCAATACAATTTTCAAACGTGAATTTCAGCAATTAGGTATTTAACATTACTAGAGCATAATGAACCCTGTCAATTTAAGGAATTTTGAATGCACAGCTCTTGTGGAGGCCACATTATGGCCAAGGCCACATAAAGTAGTAAAGCTCTAGAACTTCCCAGTGGCCAAATACAATGCGAAATATTTATTAAATTCAAGTAAACCAAATTTTTTTTCTATATTTAAAAGTTGTGTTGAATCATCTCAGTAATTCAAAATAATATGTATTCCCGTTTAGAAAATCAGTGTAATTTTGTAACATCTGCATTCATTGTAATTCAACTACTCAGTCAAATAAAGAAATATATTTCCCTTGGTTTCCGGTTATTGCTCCCACCATAATTCTTTTTTATAGTTCCTCTCCACATTCGTTTAATTTTATAAAAGACGATTCTGCTACCTTTTCAGGCTTTACTGCTATTAACAGGATTTTTTATTCTTTCACACTAAATCCTCTCTACGGTTAACCTCAACACAGTTCAAAGTAATACATATAAATAAAATAAAAAGGGCATTGTTGCTGGGGGCGGGGTAAGTTTAGGATTTATTTTTATTTAACATTTTATTGTTATTTGATTTCAGAGATTAACCTTTGGGTGCTATTCCACCCAAAACATTAAAGGTGTTCCTATTGCACTTTCATTAAAACATATTGTCTATAAATCACATTCAAATATAAATCATGTCTATGCTCGTCGTTTTAGTCCTTTTCACAACTGATGGGGGTAGTTAGGCTGTTTGGGAATAGATAAACTTGGGGAAATAGATTCTTTTTTTATTCATTTTGTGAAAAATAAGAAATGGACCAAAATTTGACATAAGTTAATTCTAATGAATTACAAAAGATTTTATACTAATGGATATGTGATATGTTTACCTATATGTCCAATATAG